TGCTGCCTGGACGGTGGATTTCCTACCCAGTTTTAAGTATTGCTTGTTAGTCAACAATCTTCCATCAATAAACAAGTGATTTGCACTCTGACTTAATATAAGAAAGAAAGAAAAAAAACTATGCAGGAACTGATAAAACACCAAGAAGCACAATCAGGAAGGAATTCCACATACAGCAGTATGTCAGAAACAAGGAATTTTTGTGAGTCCAGGTTAAGTGGGTGAAACGTATTGTTTTGGCAACTAGCTTCATCAAGGCCGGCCGGTGTGACGCGTCTGGAAAGAAGTCGAGCTGGGATTCAAGTCCTGTGCCTTTGGAACTCCCCGAGGGCTCAAATATCATGGTACAATTTCGCCTCCTTACAGAATTGTAGCTCTGGGTGCCAGTAACGTGGGCTCAAGACCAATATAGACCAACCCGCATCTGACAATCTGATGTTAAAACGTCCAAATAACTCAACAGAAGAATGAGCAAAAGTGCCCCCAAATGCACGGTTTTTGAGATGGATTAAATGTCTTTGGGTGAAAGAAAGACATGGAGGAATACAGTAGAGCTAAGCACATCCAGGTCTGGTCAGTGCTCAGATAAGTTAATATCATGGAAGCTTAGATGTCAGAAAGGGCAGGAGGTCAGTATAATTATGAGCAAACCCAAGTCCCTTCAAAACAGGTGCTGCAAGACATTCTAAAACCCTGATGGTGCCCGCTGCATCTCTGCATGAGTCCGTGTGCTGGGCCGTGCTTCCTCTGCGGGCAAGTAGTTTTGCTACGTTTCTGCATGGGCGACGATTGGAACATTCACTTTCTGCCAATCAGGAAGGGGGGCGGGGAGCCAAATTAGCCACTCAAATGGGAGTCTGCCTCTGCATGAGTCACCGCTCTAAACTTGCTTCCTTCCAATCAGGGCCTACCCAGATCAGTGACTCATACACAAGGGAGCAGGTGGTCTTCTGTGAGCAGGTAGTTCCTTACTCTGATATGTTGGGGAGGAGAGCATGAAGCACATGTCCAATTCTAAATTCAGACTATACCTGTCTGGGGTACCAGAAATCTGGGAGATGCTGAAGTCGCTACAGGTATATTAAAAGGAGAACTTGAAGGGTGCCTGCAGTACTACGAGCAGCCTTTTTAATGTACTTCTGTGCGCAGCCTAAAAGATTATAGGGTACTTCCCATGGGGCAGGAAAGGAGCTCTAAATCTGCCTTTCTCTTGGTATTTTCAACGCTGCTATCCTGCACACCCTAACATGACAATAAGTCCCAGTGGGTCTCTTTTTCTCCTTTATAGCTAGCATGGAATTACACAGAAATCATACCAACATCTAACATACCAATTTGGTGAAGAATCAAGGGACTCCTGCTTCTGAAAGGAGTAAGCCACAGATTAATCATCGCTCCCCACATGGTGATTCTCAAAAAACCAGTGTGGTGTCGTGGTTAGGAGTGCGGACTCTAATCTGGAGAACCGGGTTTGATTCCCCGCTCCTCCACATGCAGGGGCTGGTGTGACCTTGGGTCAGTTACAAGTTCTTTCAGAGCTGTTCTCTCAAGAGCAGTCCTCGAAAGAGCTCTCTCAGCCCCACCTTCCTCACAGGGTGTCTGTCGTGGGGAGGGGAAGGGAAAGGAGATTGTAAGCCACTCTGAGACTCCTTCGGGTAGTGAAGGGCAGGGTAGAAATCCAATCTTCTTCTTCCACAGAAAACCCATTCAGAAATCCTGGGAATTGCATTACAAATAAAAACTACCACCAAGGTTCTAGTCCTCTCGACTGCAAAGGCAGGATGAAAGTATATGTTGAAATCTCCAAGGCCAGAGGATTTCCAGACTGGCCAAGGCAGGGTGGGGAGTGTGAGATTCAAGCTGTGCGCCCCTAATTCATGACCCCTTCTCCATGATCAGAATAAATCAAGCAAATGCAGAGAAACACATTTGCTTTAAAGAATTTGCAGAATCCAGCTCTTCTGGGGACACAGTGCTGAGGGTTTTGGAATACACACACTTAATGCTCCCTCTAGTGGTAAATCTGTGTTTGGACTGGACCCATTCTGTGTGCAGGGGAGGGAATCAGCTGACTCCTCTGCATAGGGGGGGGGACCCATAGGCATAGAAATCTAGCATGTCAGGGTTCTACCCAAGCCTTCTCTCTGACAAGCTAGCTTTCTGTATGCAGGGATTTGGAAGGGGGAAATGGAGAAGCAATCAGTCGCGTGACCCCCTATCTACGGTCTGAAGTGGAAGTCGAAACAGCAGTTATCCCCTCAGTAAGAGCTCATGATTAATGTCCTTGCCAAGAAATGTACCTAAATTGTCAAATCGGGGCAGCCCCCTGGCAAGGGGTCATGGGAAAAGATGCCTGAAAAGTGGAGGTGCACACTTCCAGGAAAGGGGGAGCTTCCACAGCAAGCAAACCCAGAACTGCTTTCTTCACGACAGCTGAGGTTTAGCACAGCAGGCACAAAACGACTTTGCTGAACCACAGGAGCCGCAGTGACTATGAGGAGAGCGGGTAATTCCCTACTCTGATATGTCCAGGGTGGGGGGAGCTGGCCATGAAGAACATCTCCCGTTCCAAATTCAAAAAATATATGTCGTGGAAACCAGAACTTTGTGGAACGCTGAAGCAGTAACAGAAGAACTTGAAGCCTCCCTCTCTGGTAGGCCGACTTTAGGAGAAAGACCACTTTCTAGCTCTTTTCACATGCCAGGATTGGATTTAAGAACGTAAAGAGCCCTGCTGGATCAGACCAGTGAGGGTCCATCCAGTCCAGCATCCTGTCTCACACAGTGGCCAACCAGTTCCTCTGGAGGGCCAACAACAGGGCATAGAGGCCGAGGCCTTCCCCTGAGGCTCTGGGATTCAGAGGCTCAGTGCCTCTGAATGTGGAGGTTCCCCTCAGTCACCATGGCTAGTAGCCACTGACAGACTTGTCCTCCAGGAATATGTACCCCCCACCCTCAGCAGGCTCGATGCACACAGGCTGTGTGCTCACCCATTGGCAAGATGGCTCCCTGATGGTTTGGGGATGCTCAGAAGATAGATTAAGCTTAGACAGTTCCCATAACAGAAGACTATCAGCTCTTGTTCTGGTGAGGGACAAGAAGAAGGGTGAGCAGGTGGGTTTGGGGAGGGGCCACAACTGAGGAGCGGGTTGACAAAGAGAACTTTTTCTCACCCTCCCAAAATACTAGAACTTGAGGGCATCCCAATGAAATTGATGGGCAGTTGGTTCAGGATGGACAAAAGGGAATACTACTTTACACAGAGAATGATTAAAATAGGGAATGTGCTGCCAGAGGATGCAGTGATTGCCAGTGGTCCTTCTAAGCTGAATCAGTGTGAGCTAGCTCACCGTTTTTTAGCCTCCGGCTCACACGTTTTTGTCTTAGCTCAGGAAGGAGGGCTCCAGAGCAAACTAAATTACGCAGCAGCCAAATCGCTCGCTCACAACTTTCATGCCAGTAGCTCACAAAGTAGAATTTTTGCTCACAAGACTCCACAGCTTAGAGGGAGCATTGGTGATGGCCACAGGTTTTAAACAGCCTTAAAAGAGGATTAGAGAGATTAATGGAGGATAGGTCTATCAATGGCTACTAGCCCTGGTGACTGAGGGGAACCTCCACATTCAGAGGCACTAATCCTCTGAATCCTGGAGCCAGGAGGCAACATCAGGGGAAGGCCTCGGCCTCTCTGCCCTGCTGTTGGCCCTTCAGAGGAACTGGTTGGCCACTGTGTGAGGCAGGATGCTGGACTAGGTGGACCACTGGTCTGATCCAGCAGGGCTCTTCTTATGTTCTTAAAATCCACATTACCAGAGGTCTCCAGTTTGATCCCCAGCTAAAGGACATCAGATCACACTTTCCTTTGCCTGAGGGCTGTGACGAGTCAGAGCAGCACTGCGCTAGTGACAGATCGACGGCCTGATGTGGTATAAGGCAGCTTCATAGGTTCAAAGGCAATTCTAGTTAAATGACCCTCCTCCCCCTGTGCAGCCAGGGCCTTGCCCCCGCTTCACTTCCAGACTGGCCGGGCAGCTCCCCTTCAGGGGACATTAGGTGGACGCTTCAAGCAAGCTGGAAGCCAAGGGAGCTTGTGCAGTTAGTGCCACTTGGAACAACCGCCCAGGAAAACAAAGAGATGCTTACCAAGGCAACAGAGAAGGACTGGTGTGGGTAGAGGGATCAGGCTTGGGACCAGTGAGGCCTGGGTTCAAATCCCCACTCAGTCAGGATGGAGCTCACCAGCTGACCTTTGGACGTTCAGTCTCTCTCTCAAAGTTACCTCAGAGGGCCGTTACGAGGATAAAATGCAGGCAGGGAAAAAACATACAACACCGCCTGTGCTCCCTGGAAAAAGGGCAGGACAGGATCTGGCACTGGAAACCAAATCCGTCCCTCTCCGTGGTACTATCTGACCTCTTGATGCTCAACCAGGAGCGTACGTTACCGTGATCATCCATGCCAGCAACCCTGAGAGGCAGGCCAGTCTCATTCTTCCCAGCGTTATATCGTGGCGAGAGAAGGCTGGGGAGACCCGGGTTCAAATCCCCCACTCAGCCATGAATCTCGCAGGGGCCAGTTTCTCTTTACCTAACCTACCTCACAGGGTTGTTGTGAGTATAAAACAGAGAAGGGGGGAAACCACCTCACCTCTGTGAGTCCCCTAGAAGAAGATAAAAATGTGATAGGAGGTCTGTGGGGAGCCTATTCCCCCCCCCCCCACGGCAGACCGTCCATGCACACAGACCCTATCATGGCAAGGGATGGTTTAATGCTGCCTCGACAGGTTGCCTTTGCATGCACTTTTAAACAATTTTGCATGCCCTTTTAAACCATTTTGTTCTTTTGGGTTGTTTTTTTTTGTAGAGTACATCACCTCTCGCTCAGTGATGGTGCTTGATAAAGTTCGAGTTGTCGCTGAAC